AGAGGGTTTTCCAGTCAGCTCCACAATTGATAGGGCTTTGGTTAGGACAGGTAGAGAAAAAAGGGTGCCATGCTAGGAGGAGACTCTATGGTGGGGGAACCGGACTTCCGGTTGGCTCCAGAATTGAACGGGGGCTTCCAGTTAGGCCCTTTGTGACTCTTTGAGTGTTAAAGGTTGCTGACCCCTATCTAAAGAAAGTCTATCCCTCAAATATATTGTTATCCTTTGGATTTCTTGAAACGTCAGCTTTTGGCTAACAAAACGCTATCCATTCCAGCTTGATAAGACTGGTTGCATTTAGTATACCTTCTCAGCAGTGGTGGGTTCTGGATCCCATTGCAACTGGTACAGATGAATGCACGCAGTGTGCGCATGCGTACCTACCTCTTGCGATGCCTCCGTGAGCCTCTGCAATGCTCCAGGCTGCTCAGCGGAGCATCACGCAGGTACCGTGCACTCCATGTGCATGCGCGGAAGTGCAGAAGAGTTCAAATACAGCTAAGGAGCTTGGGTGGGCGAGTGGGCTCTTCTGAGCACCGTACCAGAATGGTACCCGGTGCTCGGGGCAGGCACTGGTACGCCCGTACCAGGGCGTACCACCTGCAACCCACCACTGCTTCTTAGATGCAAAGACTGAATCCGTTGTGAAAAAATGAGAGATGAGGGCCATCTCACATGTACTGAAATCTTTGTATGGTGTAAAGAAAAAAAAAGAGTCTGGGCCCAGAAAAATCTGCTGAAAACATTCTGCTTGTTTTTCCCCCTTCCTTTACCTCTTTGTCTCTTTCCCTTGAGGCTGAAAATGTCACATTTTTATTCACCTCCAACTAATGGCAATTCAAGTAAACAGGCAAGAATCAACATCAATTAAGGTGTAGGGCATTTCAGCAGGACGAGGCAGAAATATATTAGGTGCCTGTGAAATTATTCCTACTTGCTAGTCTTTCTTAATAAAGAAGACAGCTGGGTATTTCCTTTAATTATAAGACTCGATATTTTTAATAGGACTGTTAGTTTGACAGCTTTCTCTTTGTTTAGGGGAGAAAGAAAATCAGTGTTTAGACTCCTGAGCTTGGTCATCGAGATCAATATTAGAAAAAAACCAGTCTGTCAAGGCTCTTTGGTCTCCTATTGATTCGAATGAGAAGCTGATAGTGAATAGAATAATGATCATCCAACTGTACTCTAACCATTGGGAAATATCTGCACCCCTTTGCTAATAAATTTCCCAGCAATGCAAATGCAGGATGATTTTTTCCTTCCTAGAGAGCAGTACGTGGTGTATATCAAAATAATCAAACATCCATTGAATCCTGAGTACCAGTCACTTGTTCTTTGATGGTGTTTTGCAGCTTTAATAAAAGAACGTAGGCAGGGCATTGAAAAAGTTGAAAATTGGTGCCTTTTGTAAAGTACTTAAAGCAGGCTAATGATGAACATTGAACTTTTGATTTGAGTTTAACACAAACATTGCAGATGGGTTGATTGTCTTACTTTTTCTAAATGTTCAAGGCATTTTGCTGGACAACATGTTCTGCTCCACTCCAGAATGAAAACTGACAATTGTAGCAAATCACTTGTTTTTCTCTTGCTTGCACAACACTAATGAAAAGGCTGTCAGAAATAAAGAGAGTTTGGAGCTGATGTCCAAGGTCCCACTTTAAATAGGATAGAATAACAGAGTTAGAAGAGACCTTGGAGGTCTTCTAGTCCAACCCCCTGCCTAGGCAGGAAATCCTACACCACTTCAGACAAATGGTTATCCAACATCTTCTTAAAACTTCCAGTGTTAGAGCATTCACAACTAGCAATAGCAATAGCAGTTAGACATATACCGCTTCATAGGGCTTTCAGCCCTCTCTAAGCGGTTTACAGAGTCAGCATATTGCCCCCAACAACAATCCGGGTCCTCATTTTACCCACCTCGGAAGGATGGAAGGCTGAGTCAACCTTGAGCCAGTGAGATTTGAACAGCCGAACTGCAGAACTGCAGTCAGCTGAAGTAGCCTGCACTGCGCCCCCTCGGCTCTTCAAACT